CACCTACCCAACTCCCCCTACCATCTACCTAACCTACCAACCTCCCAATCAGACCTTCCTATCTACTACTACACCTACCAATCAACCTTCCTATCTACTAACCAACCTACCAATCCAACCTTCCTATCTACTAACCAACCTACAATCCCCTTCCTATCTACTACCAACCTACCAATCAACCTTCCTATCTAACTACCAACCTACCAATCAAACCTTTCCTATCTATCTTTACCAACCTACCAACAACCTTCCTATCTACTACCAACCTACTAATCAACCTTCCTATGTACTTCGCACCTACCAACCAACCTTCCTATCTACTTACCACCTACCAATCAACCTTCCTATCTACTAACAACCTACCAATCAACCTTCCTATCTACTTCCACCTACCCAATCACCTTCCTATCTACTAACCAACCAACCTTCCTATCTACTAACCAACCTACCAATCAACATTCCTATCTACTTACCAACCTACCAATCAACCTTCCCTATCTACTTACCAACCTACCAATCAACCTTCCTATCTACTAACCAACCTACCAATCAACCTTCCTATCTACTAACCAACCTACCAATCAACCTTCCTATCTACTAACCAACCTACCAACCAACCTTCCTATGTACTTACCAACCTACCAATCAACCTTCCTATCTACTTACCAACCTACCAATCAACCTTCCTATCTACTAACCAACCTACCAATCAACCTTCCTATGTACTTACCAACCTACCAATCAACCTTCCTATCTACTAACCAACCTACCAATCAACCTTCCTATCTACTTACCAACCTACCAATCAATCTTCCTATGCACTTACCAACCTACCAATCAATCTTCCTATCTACTAACCAACCTACCAATCAACCTTCCTATCTACTTACCAACCTACCAATCAATCTTCCTATGTACTTACCAACCTACCAACCAACCTTCCTATCTACTAACCAACCTACCAATCAACCTTCCTATAAGAGAATATTTTAATCTGATCTTGATTATAGAGTTTCTTATCTTTTCTTAGAATCTGTGATATTGCAAACATTCTTTGTATTAAAGTCAAAGCTCCTCTCTGTAAGTTGAGGTCACAGGTCAAAAGCTTCTCCCCTTTCCTGTGGGGGAAGGGTCCCTGCCTGCATGCAGTTTGCGAGACAAACAGATTATTGTCTCACATCTGCTATTGATTAGGTAAAACGCGGGTTTCTGATGGCTCCGCCTCTTCTAATGTTGAGGCGGGCTGTGTCTTTCTTTGTGTCAGAGATGACTTGGTAGACCACAGGGATGTGTGAAACTAAGAAATCTCCCCGGCTGTATTAAATGTACTTGTAAATAAACTCTCAGTGCTTTGGCTAACGACGATCCAGTCTCCTTCATTCCACCTCAACATTGCAACACAGAAGTTTTCATCACACTTCCTATCTACTAACCAACCTACCAACCAACCTTCCTATGTACTTACCAACCTACCAACCAACCTTCCTATGTACTTACCAACCTACCAACCAACCTTCCTATCTACTAACCAACCTACCAATCAACCTTCCTATCTACTAACCAACCTACCAATCAAATGACTAACCAATTATCTAACAACCAACCTTCTTAGCTACTGACCAAGCTAGCAATCGACTGATAAAGCAAGTACATAGCAATCAACCAAAATAACATTGACTAACCAACCCACCTTCCTATCTACTTACTAACATACCAATCAACCGACTAACTAACTAGCTATAACATCTACTAACCTAGCTACAAATCGACCAACAAAGAAACATTTACCGACCAACCCACCAATGAGCCGGCTAACAAACCACTACCTGCCAACGTTCCTCTCTACAAACTAACATACAGTTTAAACCTGATTATCTCCTACCTGCCTGACCCACTTTCTGTCTGTACTAACGGCCAATGGGTGAATATCCAGTCGTTGAGAGCTCTGTGAAGATCATGATCGTCCTGATGCTGGCTCTGTTTCCAAAGATATTGAAGTGACTGTTATTTTGTATATATTTAGTTATATCTTTGTACTCCTCAGGATTGTGGGACACGGTGTTTGGATCTGTCTGCACACACACACTGGAAGACTGATACTAAAGCTGACTGTGCGTTGTGTCCCCAGCTCCTCTCGGTGTAGCGATGGTGTTCTCCTCTTCAAACAGAGTCAGCCCCTCCCTGTACTCTCCGTATCTCACCTATCAGATGTCCCTTAACTTCTCTGAGAGGGAGAACGCCACAACGTTACCCACAACCCCCCTCTGCAGCCTGGAGGGGAACGCCACCGCCGCCGATGAGCTGACGCCGGGCGAGGTGGCCGTCCTGAGCCTGGGGTTCGGGCTCCTCTGGCTGGTCTCCATCCTGGGGAACGCCCTTGTGTGTCTGGTCATCCATCGCAGCCGCAGGACTCAATCCACCACCAACTACTTCGTGGTGTCGATGGCGTGCGCCGACCTGCTGATGAGCCTCGGCTGGGCGCCTTTCATCCTCTTACAGGTCAGTGGGGTTCTCACTTTCATCTCTCATTTGACTGGAGTCTCAGATAAGAGAGTGTGTGTGGTGTGTGTGTGTGTGTGTGTGTGTGTGTGTGTGTGGTGTGTGTGTGTGTGTGTGTGTGTGTGCGTGTGTGTGTGTGTGTGTGTGTGAGTGTGTGCGTGCATGTGTGTGTGTGTGCGTGCATGTGTGTGTGTGTGTGTGTGTGTGTCTGTGCGCGTGTGTGTGGTGTGTGTGTGTGTGCGTGTGTGTGTGTGTGTGTCTGCGCGTGTGTGTGTGTGTGTGTGTGTGTGTGTGTGTGTGTGTGTGTGTGTGTGGTGGGGGGAGACATTTATCGTGTAATTGTACTCTTGTCTCAGATATGTTTGTAGTTTCGTGAAGCCCTCTGAGACAAATGTGTGTTGTGATACTGGGCTGATTAAATACATTTGAATTGAATTGAATTACAGGTGGCGTCGGGTCGATGGCCGCTGAGCGCCGCTGCATGTAAGGCGGTTCGATACCTGCAGCACCTGTGCCCCGGCGTGCAGGTGTACGTCCTGCTGAGCATCTCCGTGGACCGGTTCTACACCATCCTGTACCCGCTGAGCTTCAAGGTGTCGCGGGAGAAAGCCAAGAAGATGATCGCGGCGTCGTGGCTGTTCGACGCCGCCTTCGTGTCGCCTTGCTTCTTCTTCTACGGATCCACCGACAGCACACACTGTGACTTCTTCTTCCTCCCGGACAGCTGGGGCGGATTGTGCTACGCCTCCATCCACCTTCTGTTCGGTTTCCTTGTTCCCGCGGTGCTCATCGTGTCTTTCTACCAACGAGTGGTACGCTACATCTGGAGAATCAGCGCCGACGGACACACGGTTCGACGCACGATGAACATTGTGCCGCGGACTAAAGTGAAGACCATCAAGATGTTCCTGATGCTGAACTCGGTGTTCTTCCTCACCTGGACGCCTTTCTACATCGCCCAGCTGTGGCACCCGAGGGAATCGAACAGTCGTCAGGGTTTGCTCTTCTTCACCGCCATCGCCTGGATCTCCTTCAGCTCCACGGCCTCCAAACCCACGCTGTACTCCGTCTACAACGCCAACTTCAGGAGGGGCATGAGGGAGACCTTCTGCATGTCCTCCATGAAGTGCTACCGCAGTAACGCCTACACCATCACCGCCAGCTCTCGAGTCGCCAAAAAGAACTACATCGGGGTCGTGGAGATCCCCGTCCAGAACAAGACGGGGGGCCAGGGACTCGGTTTACGATGCGTTTGGTCGGGAGGCGAAGGGGAAGAAAGTCGCCTGGAGCTCAAACGCTAACCCCCCGAACACTTTTGTCTAAAAACAAATTATGTAAAGCTCCCCTATCATCCTCCTCCTCTTCATCAATGTATCACAGCTCTCAGATATATCCAGAGCCTGTCTCTGATTGGTTGAAACACCAAACAGATCATTGCAGCATTACCCATAATCCCCTCTGTTTCAGCCCTGTTTCCAAAGTGCTGATTCTCTGTCTGTTACTTCAGATGAAAATAAGGAGCCCCTCCCCACGCCCCTCTGAGAGAGATTTGGTTACAAAGAACTCAATGGTGCTCTAGGAGGAGATTCAGGTGATAAGGAGGGGGGGGGGGGTACCTTGGTTGCTGATTGGCTAATGGTGACACAAGACAACACATCGTTATGACATCATAACGTGGTCAAAATCTGATCAGCTCATTTTCAGACAGGTTTTTATAGAAATGGATCAAAAAGAGAGAGAATCTTTGTTCCTGAAACTTTCAGAGTCTCTTTCCACAGAGGGGACACATGTTGATGTAGAAGAGACATGAAGAAGAGGGGACACATGTTGATGTAGAAGAGACATGAAGAAGAGGGGACACATGTTGATGTAGAAGAGACATGAAGAAGAGGGGACACATGTTGATGAAGAAGAGACATGAAGAAGAGGGGACACATGTTGATGTAGAAGAGACATGAAGAAGAGGGGACACATGTTGATGTAGAAGAGACATGAAGAAGAGGGGACAGATGTTGATGTAGAAGAGACATGAAGAAGAGGGGACACATGTTGATGAAGAAGAGACATGAAGAAGAGGGGACACATGTGATGTAGAAGAGACATGAAGAAGAGGGGACACATGTTGATGTAGAAGAGACATGAAGAAGAGGGGACACATGTTGATGTAGAAGAGACATGAAGAAGAGGGACAGATGTTGATGTAGAAGAGACATGTTGATTAGAAGAGACATGAAGAGAGGGACAATTTTGATGTAGAAGAGACATGAAGAAGAGGGGGACACCATGTTGATGTAGAAGAGGACATTAAGAGAGGGGACACATGTTGATGTAGAAGAGACATGAAGAAGAGGGGACACATGTTGAGTGAAGAAAGAGACATGAAGAAGAGGGGACACATGTTGATGTAGAAGAGACATGAAGAAGAGGGGACAGATGTTGATGTAGAAGAGACATGAAGAAGAGGGGACACATGTTGATGTAGAAGAGACATGAAGAAGAGGGGACACATGTTGATGTAGAAGAGACATGAAGAAGAGGGGACACATGTTGATGTAGAAGAGACATGAAAGAAGAGGGGACCCATGTTGATGTAGAAGAGACATGAAGAAGAGGGGACACATGTTGATGTAGAAGAGACATGAAGAAGAGGGGACACGTGTTGATGTAGAAGAGACATGAAGAAGAGGGGACACGTGTTGATTGAAGAAGAGACATGAAGAAGAGGGGACACATGTTGATGTAGAAGAGACATGAAGAAGAAGGGGACAGCATGTTGATGTAGAAAGACATGAAGAGGGGGACACATGTTGATGTAGAAGAGACATGAAGAAGAGGGGACCACTGTTGATGTAGAAGAGACAGAAGAAGAGGGGACACATGTTGATGTAGAAGAGAACATGAAGAAGAGGGGACACATGTTGATGTAGAAGAGACATGAAGAAGAGGGGACACATGTTGATGTAGAAGAGACATGAAGAAGAGGGGACACGTGTTGATGTAGAAGAGACATGAGAAGAGGGGACACGTGTTGATGTAGAAGAGACATGAAGAAGAGGGGACACATGTTGATGTAGAAGAGACATGAAGAAGAGGGGACACATGTTGATGTAGAAGAGACATGAAGAAGAGGGGACACGTGTTGATGTAGAAGAGACATGAAGAAGAGGGGGACACATGTTGATGTAGAAGAGACATGAAGAAGAGGGGACACATGTTGATGTAGAAGAGACATGAAGAAGAGGGGACACATGTTGATGAAGAAGAGACATGAGGAAGAGGGGACACATGTTGATGTAGAAGAGACATGAAGAAGAGGGGACACATGTTGATGTAGAAGAGACATGAAGAAGAGGATTTTGCAGAATAGGCACCAGATGTCGTTTGAAACCCTTTACGATGTGAACAGTGTCTCAGATACCGTTCACATGAATACCTGCAGTCGATATACAGGAGAATAGACTCTGAAGACGCTTTACTAAATTAACGTTTTGTTGATTTGTGGTTGTGTATCTGATGGAGGAACATCATCAGAGTTACTAACAGGTGTGACAAAGTTGACTAAACCTTAAATTCAATGAAAGTGTATCAGTTCAGATGTTCAGATGACTCCACGAGGCCTTCGAATGTAAAACACATCATTTATTTACAAAGAAAGCAGTAAATCGGTCAGATTTGACCCGAACACGACAGGAGGGTAAAACACAACATCGGTGTTGGCCGGTAAAGCTAGCTCAGTGCTAACGTGCTAACCCTGCGTTCACAGATCTCACAGACACCGTGTTTAGTTTGTATTTGGGCCGTTGTTGGGGGGGCGAACAGCTCCTTTGATACTTCAGATTTCAACCTGTATTTATTTCTGTGTTGTATTTTGACGGGTTGTTTTGACAGGTTTGTGTTCTCTCAGTGTTGTATCTGATTTCCTGCCGTAATGTTTGTGGTAGAAGCTAACGTTATTGGTGGCTACGCTACTAGCCGTATGTTGACATTATCTGCTCAGCTACATTAGGGGCGCTAACAAAACTCCATACGGTTTGTTCAGCTGATTTTAAATATGTCCAATAAAGACTAATGGAGACTAGCGCTGTGTTTATAAAACTCTCCATGAAATACAACCCAGTCTCAAAGGGGCATTTCGTGTTCACCAACACGATTTTTTATCTATTGATTCGTGTTCACCAACACGATTTGCCCCTTTTTTTTTCGTGTTGCATAGCACGATTTTAAAAGTAAGGCAAGGCAAGTTTATTTATATAGCACTTTTCAACACAAGGCAATTCAAAGTGCTTTACAAAAAATGAAAGAGATTAAGAAAATGGCATTTAAAATCAGTCATTAAAAAGAAAAGCTAATAAAATAAACATTAAAAGAAAAAATACATGGATAAAAGTTACAGTGCAGTCTAAGATATGAATAGTTCAATTAAAAGCAGCGACAAAAAGAAAAGTCTTTAGCCTGGATTTAAAAGTAGTCAGAGTTGCAGCGGACCTGCAGGTTTCTGGGAGTTTGTTCCAGATATTTGGAGCATAATAACTGAACGCTGCTTCTCCATGTTTAGTTCTGACTCTGGGGACAGAAAGCTGACCAGTCCCTGAAGACCTGAGAGATCTGGATGCTTCATCATTTAGCAGGAGGTCAGAAATGTATTTTGGGCCTAAACCATTCAGTGCTTTATAAACCAGCAGCAGTATTTAGAAATCTATTCTTTGACACACAGGAAGCCAGTGTAAAGACTTCAGAACAGGAGTGATCCACTTTCTTAGTGTTAGTGAGGACTCGAGCAGCAGCGTTCTGAATCAGCTGCAGCTTCCTAATAGATGTTTTAGTGAGACCTGTGAAGACACCATTGCAGTAGTCGAGTCTACTGAAGATAAAAGCATGGACAAGTTTCTCCAGATCCTGCTGTGACATTAGTCTTTTAATCCTAGATATATTCTTTAGGTGATAGTAGGCTGATTTAGTAACTGTTTTAATGTGACTGTTGAAACTCAGGTCAGAGTCCATGACTACACCTAGATTTCTGGCTTTATCTGTTGTTTTGAACATTGCACACTGAAGCTCAGCGCTAACTTTTATACGTTCTGCCTTGGCTCCAAAAACCATTACCTCAGTTTTATCTTTGTTTAATTGGAGAAAGTTCTGACACATCCAGTCATGGATTTGTTCAATGCACTTACTCAGTGTTTGAACTGGAGCTTAGTCTCCTGGTGAAATTGTTATGTAAATTTGTGTGTCATCTGCATAGCTATGGTAACTTATTTTGTTGTTCTTCATTATCTGAGCCAGTGGTAGCATGTAGATGTTAAAGAGAAGAGGCCCCAAGATGGAGCCTTGAGGAACCCCACATGTCATATTTGTCAACTCAGATGTGTATTTACCTATAGAAACAAAGTTGTTTCTGTCCTTTAAGTAGGATTCAAACCAATTTAGAACTGTTTCCGAAAGTCCCACCCAGTTTTCCAGTCGGTCTAGTAATATGCTGTGGTCAACAGTGTCAACGCAGCACTGAGATCTAATAATACTAACACTGAAGTTCTGCCACTGTCTGTGTTTAAGTGGATGTCATTGAAGACCTTTACAAGAGCAGTCTCAGTGCTGTGGTTTGGACGAAAGCCTGACTGGAACACATCAAAACAGTTATTTAAATGCAAGAAATTACTCAACTGTTGTAAAACAACTTTTTCAATGATTTTACCTAGAAATGGGAGGTTTGATATGGGCCTGTAATTGTTCATTACTGAAGCATCTAGATTATTCTTTTTTAAGAGCGGTTTAATGACTGCAGTTTTCAGGGCCTGTGGAAAAACACCTGAGTGAAGAGATTTGTTTACTATATGAAGTAGATCTGAGGCCATGCAAGGCAAAACATCTTTGAAAAATCCTGTTGGAATAATATCAAGGCAGCAGGAGGAGGATTTCAGAAGTTGAATAATGTCCTCTAGGTTTTTATCATTAATCTGATGGAATTGTGTCATGGTGTTTGAATTGATATTAGGTGGACACAGAGACAAAACATTTGCTGTTCCTGATGCAGAGGCACTGACTGCTTGTCTGATTTTCTGAATTTTGTCAGTGAAAAAGGAGGCAAAATCATTGCACGCCCTGGTGGATAGAAATTCAGAGGCTACTGACACTGGGGGGTTAGTTAGTCTGTCGACGGTAGCAAACAAGGCACGTGCGTTGTTTTTGTTTTTGGTAATGATCTCAGAGAAGAACGATTGTCGTGCGTTTTTCAATTCCAAATTATAAAGGCCAAGTCTCTCTTTATAGATTTCAAAGTGAACCTGGAGATTTGTTTTTCGCCAACCTGCGTTCAGCTTTTCGACATTCTCTTTTTTCTGTTTTCACGCTCATGGCCTTTCTCCATGGAGATATTTTCTTGCCAGACACTTCCTTTACCTTAGTTGGAGCAATGGCATCTATAACATTTTAATTTTTGTATTAAAATGATCTACTAGCTCATTTACTGAGATGTTGGCAGGGGCAAGTGTGGAAGAGAAATTCTGAGTAAACATTTCCCTAGTATTTTCAGTTAAATATCGCT